AATTCAGGATCCTGCACTTAAGAGTTGGCTTAGGCACTACGACCAATATTTCGTTCATGATGAAATATTATATAGAGCGCTTGGTAGCAGCAACAGCTCTCACCCACAACATGTAATATTAATACCTTCTGCTTTGCAAGCAAACATTCTCAAAACACTGCATGATGGGCCACTAGGAGGTCATTTAGGTATCACTCGTACCGAGGAACGAGTGAGGAAACGATTTTATTGGCCTGGCATTCGAAAGTCAGTAACCAAACATATTCAGTTGTGCAAAGTTTGCAATCAAAAGAACTCCCCAATTAACAGAAACACAGCTCCATTAGGTCATATTTCAGTTAGCCAACCTTTTACTTTCTGGGCAATGGATTACATGGGACCATTGCCAGAAACAGGTCGTGGGAACAAACATATCCTAGTGGTTGTTGACCATTTCACCAAATGGTGTGAAGCATTTGCAACTCCAGATCAGAAAGCCAGCACGGTTGCGCCACTTTTAGTAAGCGCATTTTCTCTCGGTTTGGAACCCCAGCAGTCCTGCATTCAGATCAAGGCCGAAACTTTGAAAGCACACTACTACACGAAATCTGCAACTTTATGGGTATTACGAAAACGCGCACCACAAGCTACCATCCTCAGTGTGATGGACAAACTGAGCGGCAAAACCGAACTATTCAGGCTATGCTTTCAGCTTTTGTTTCAAATAGAAGAGATGACTGGGACTTGTGGCTGGATTCAGTTACATTTGCTTACAATACCAGCAGACATGACGCATTAGGCATTTCACCATATCAGGTAGTTTTTGGTCAATTACCTAGGCTGCCAGTTGAATTGGAATTAGGAATGCCTCTAACAAATCCTTCCACACAGAGTGAATATGTAGTTTCAGTAAGGTCAGCATTTCATGATATAAGACGCATAGCAGAGGAACATTTGTCAAAAGCATCCGAAAATCAGGCAAGGCTCAATCAATCGACAAACACTTGGCGGCCTTTCGACTCGGGTGAAACAGTCATGTTGAAAAGACCAAAAGGCTGGAAGTTAGGAAATAAATGGGTTGGGCCTTACAGAATTCTAAAACGGTTTGGGGTCGACTATAGAATAGTTTCTACGGGAGGGAAGGTCATGGTCGTTCATCACGACCAGTTAAAACGCAGTTATATCCCTTTTCAAGAGGGCGAACCGGTTTGCCCTAGTAGGGAAGTAGGTGAGTTCCAGGTGGTTGATGTTACACCTCCACATGTCGGTATTGACGGTATTCCTCGTGCTCGACCTGCCAGACTAAGACAACATATTAATCCACCATTGAGATACGGATTTGACTAGAAATATGTCCTCGGGACGAGAACATAAAGGAGGAGGATAGTGTAACGGATATCTGATAATGGATATAATAATGTGTAAATATGTAAATAAGATTAGTAAGTCATAATTAGCCGCGGATGCTCCCCTAGCAAGCTGCATCCGTGATATAGTAAAAATAGCTCTCTAAATAATCAAAGGAAGGTAACATCCTAGAGATAGAGAATATAAATATGGAATCGGAAAATGAATAAAGTTAAGTTGGATCTAGACCACGTTGTGTGTTGTGTTAGCTCGGCTCGTTACACATGAATGATGTCATTTCTACATTTAGAAAACAAATTTGAAAAACTTATAGATACCTTGTTACTTAAGACATATAAAGCTACTATTGTCTGGAAAGATTTAGTTTTATGATTATTTTTGTTTGATTATTTTTGTTTGAGGTTTAAAAATCAGCAAAAATCCACTGTTGAGAAGAGCAAAAATCGTAATTTTAGCCCTCAACTTGACCCCCCTGGAACTTTGCCAAAATGCAATTAGACTGAAAACAAAATGCATTTTGAAACAACCCTTATAAAGGCAATCTCAACTACAAAGTTTGAGAGAAATCTATTTGTTGGTCCAAAGAGGTCATGAGGTTCTTACAGAGACTGCCTCTTAAGCATTTCTATGAAAGTAGAACATTCCTTACTGAAAACACCAAGAGAACTAATCGAAAGATTTACAAATTTTACTGAGTTGAAATGTTCATTTTGTTCCCTAATTAATTCTTTATATTTTGATTTTTTACGCTCAACGTTTTTTTGAAGATTTGATTCGAAGCCAACTGTAAGTTCAACAATATAAAGTCTTCCGGTTGAGGTTGAAAGAAGCAAATCTGGACGGTAGGTGTCACCAGTGATGATTGATGGACTTTTGTACCCTGGGAGATCCACGTAAAGATGTGAGCCGCTTACGGTCTGCAGGCTTGTTGCGAGAAAGTTTAGAACGGAGTCATGTCTCCACGTGAATCGTTCTAGATACGATTGGCAACCAGTTACTACGTGCAGAAGTGTTTCAGGAGCTAGACATCGCGAACAGTCTGAAGTCGGTGATAAACCCCATCTTGCAAGGTTTTGGCGCGTTGGAAGGGAGTTATTGATGTATCGAACTGTAAAGTTGAATATATTTTTCGGAAGGTTCGATTGGCACGCAGACCAAATTTTAGTGAGTTGGGACAGTGAGAACTTTGTTACATTAGTGAAGAAAGAGCCTTGACAGATTAATTAAGCATGCAGTTTATCCTCTTGTCCAGAGCGAAAGTCCTTAAGAACTTGCTTAATGGAGCTATGAACGTCATACTGAATATTTTTGCTGTTGCTAGTTGCTTTCCAAAGATCGTTAATTGCTTCGTTTGGGGATGTTTTTAGGGCTTTACGGAGAACAGTTTGACATTGAATAAATTTGACAGATGGGGGACAAATACTGAGGCCAAATAATATTTTATTAATATTATATTATATTAATAATATTATATAATAATGAAAACTTTATTAATAGAACATTTATCGATATATACAATTGTAAATCTCACTTCTTGAGGTAACCTACAATTGACTACTTGAATCACTTATACGTGCATGGTTATAATTTTATATACAAAAATTACTACTTATTTACAGAAATAGTTACTTTAAATGTTCATTAGTTCGGGATTTGTCCATTCTTTATTTCTACAGCAAAATATGTAGTACGTTGATCGGATGGCAATAGATATAATTTTTCTGATACAATATTGTTGGTGTTGATTATCCAGTCCTAACTCATTTAGCATTTTTACGAATGTATGACATTCTTTGTCAAACACTCCTAGCGAACTGACAGAAAGATTTATAAATTTGACAGATGTAAAGTTTTGATCCAGTTCTCTAATTAGGTTTTTATATTTAGCTTTCTTGCGGTTAACATTGTTTGTGAGGTTTGATTCAAAGCCTACGGTAAGTTCAACGACGTAGAGGTGTTTGTCTGAAGTGGAGAAAAGTAAATCAGGACGATATTCATCTCCCGTAATAATCGAGGGGCTTTCAAATCCAGGAAGATCAACATGTAATTTGCATTCGTTTAAACTTTGAAAAGTTTTAGCAAGAAAGTTTAGTATGCAATCGTGTCTCCAAGTAAATCGTTCCAGGTAATGTTGACAACCGGCAACAACGTGTAGAAGTGATTCAGGGTGTAAGCAGAACGAGCAGTCAGAACTTGATGAAATTCCCCATCTACTGAGGTTCTTTCGTGTAGGAAGGGTATTATTTATATAGCGAATTGTAAAGTTGAAAATGTTCTTTGGTAGCTTTGATTGCGCTACCGACCAGATTGCGTTAAGTTGTGATAGCGAGAATTTAGAAACATTTTCGAAAAAGGAACCTTGACATTTCAAACAGTTCCTAAGTTTATTTTCTTGTTGAGAATGGAAAGTTTTTAAAACTTCTTTAGTTGAGTTGTAGCTATCGTATTGAATGTTAGTATGATTATTAGTTGACTTCCACAGTTCGTTTATTGAATCGTTTGGAGATGTTTTCAGGGCATTGCGTAGAACTGTTTGACACTGAATGAATTTGACTGATGCAGGGAGGATATTTAGACCAAACTTATTACGGGTTAGAAAAACGTTACTTAGTGTTCCAGATATAGGTACTTCCAGCCATTTTCGGATGTACTTGTTCACCGAAGAATCGATATTTTCGACTACCCAAGTTTTAGATATCGTAGCAACAGTAAAATGCCAGGATAGCTTCGACAAAACATAACGACTGTAAAGTAAAATTTTGTTTTTTGGGTGAAGAGGTTTAAGATCTATTTCGGACATTAGTTCATCAATGAGGGAAATCACTTCAGATTTATGTTTTTCATTAGTCATGTTAAAGTCGAAATGTCGTCCCAAATACTCAAATGATTCTCCAGTCTTAATCGTTGGTATGAGATCCTTATTGATCAAAAGCTTCGGCAGGTACTGGGCAGATTTTGATAAAACTTTTTTGATGCCAAATGCGCTACATTTATCAACTCTAACAACCATATAATAATAATAATAATAATAATAATAATAATAATAATAATAATAATAATAATAATAATAATAATAACAATAATAATAATAATAATGGAAACTTTATTGAATTTTTTACGTATATATATACAATTGTAAATCTCACTAATGCAGTAATGTTGCTGCTTTTTATCCATTCCTATAGTGTCTAACATTTCTAAAAAGGTGAAGCATTCTTTGTCAAACACACCGAGAGAGCTCATTGATAGGTTTACAAATTTAACAGAATTAAAGTGACCCCTTTGATCTTCAATTAGATCTTTGTATTTTGCTTTTTTGCGTTTAACGTTATTATGTAGATTAGATTCAAACCCGACAGTAAGTTCAAGGACATAAAGATCTTCATTTGGGGAATTAGGAGTAAGTCCGGTCGAAACCTTGACAAATTAGACGGTGTTGAAGCTTATCTTCTTGTCCAGAATGAAAATCCTTGAGAACTTCCTTTGTTGAATTATATATGTCGTACTGAATAATAATAATAATAATAATAATAATAATAATAATAATAATAATAATAATAATAATGAAAACTTTATTAATTGAACATTTATAGATATATACAATTGTAAATCTCACTTCTTGAGGTAACCTACAATTGACTGCTTGAATCACTTATACATGTATGGTTATAATTTTATATACAAATATTGTTAATTATTTATAGAAATAGTTACTTTAAATGTTCATTAGTTCGGGATTTGTCCATTCTTTATTTCTACAGCAAAATATGTAGTACGTTGATCGGATGGCAATAGACATAATTTTTCTGATACAATATAATAATAATAATAATAATAATAATAATAATAATAATAATAATAATAATAATAATAATAATAATAATAATAATAATAATAATAAGCCCCCAGGTTCTCTGATGGGAAATTTTGCTACGAGTTCCCCTGCTGGCTATATCAGTGGTATGATCCACCACAGGGAAATTGTTATCCCAAAAAGGTTATGGCCTCGGGAAAAACAAGAAATGAACTAGATCAAGAAATTTAGATCGATAATTTGAAACGATTAACACGAGAAATGAAATAATTTAATAAATAATTTTCTTTTAATATATGTATTGGTATACTAGCTAGTAGCTTGTATATGTGTAAATCTGCCCCTTATATCCATATATTTTTCAAATCTCAGACCCCTTGCAAGGGTGTGATATGTCACAATGGAGGCGGATGTGTCGGCAATCATAAGGAAGGAACTTGGCAATGTCGTTGTTCTGTTAATTATGCTGGAAAGCACTGTGAGAATCGTAGTAAGTGAAAACTTGTGTATCGTTTATCGTCCATTATTAACGCCTTTTAAGTATCATTTCTCCCATCAATAGATCCCGCCTTTAAAAATCTCCTTTTTTATTTACCATCCGTCTATATTCGAACTTCTGCTGAATCATTACAAAGAATCGATTTGCTTTTCTTCATGTTACACTAAATAAACTTGCCTCTCTATACTAAGTGATTTGGTTCATTTCTTAATTTGAGCACTTTTTAACACTCGTCCTCAGTCCTCTCTTTAACTTCGGAATGGCTAATAAAGGTCTGACAGTACCAAATATTCCTTTTAGATCCATACGGCGGTATGATTCGTTTTCCAGGGATAGTTAACAATGAACTTTTTCAAGTAAAAGGCCCTTTTAATCATCCAACGGCAAAGAACGTGTGTAACGCATTTGGTGCCCGTCAGCCATCGCGGCAAGATATTGCTCGAATAGCAAGAGAAGCAGGGTATGGAATCTGTAAACCGTAAGTGTTTTTAAATTACTCTTAATTACGATCTCATACATTCTTATAGTCCGCACAAATCCAATTAAGTTAGGCCCTAAATGAGTTTCAGGGTAATTTAGATGGCAATTTCGAGTGCAAATTTTATACATAAATTTAGACCTAACGAAGAACAGCTCAGAAAAATGAAACTAATGGCCCTCTGGCAGGAATCAAAGTAAGGCGATGCAACGCTCTCAGCAACTGAGCTACAGAGTCCAGTTGCCGAGCTACGCATGCAACCGCAATTTCATGTATATAGATAGACTTGGTTTTAAGTTTGTCTTTCAATGGATTGAGAATAGCAATGCGCGCAAGCTGTGAAAAAGACGCGAAAATATGAGAGTAGGGAGAAATGTACTTGGGAGATTTGCAAGCGCCGTCGGAGTTTTTCTACGGAGGCGTGGTTTGCGAGTTGACAATAACAACAAATTTTCGCGCCAATTTTTGCAATTAAAATTCGAAATGATGCAAAAGTCTGGTATATATACTAATTCAGTATAAGCTACGTGTTGTCATGTAGGCCTATGGCATTCTCATTTACAAAACCCTTCAATATTAGGTCAATCGAGCGAGATGCCCAAAATAATCCTGATAAATAGGTTTCATATCATATTGATCATGATATTCATACGCGAAGAACTGCATACGTCTTTATATATAACGTTTTTGGTTTACGAAACACAAACAGTTTATATATAAATATATTCGGTTTTTTGAGGTAAAACGAAAAACTATATTACGCTCTATCTATATGGTATTGAGCACTGTTTGTGTTTTGTAAACCAAAAGTTTAAGCTATATATATATATATATTCGCTTACCTTAAAATTCCGCAACAGTCTGTTTCATCAGTAAAGAATCATCAGGCGGTATGATGATTATGTACCGCCTGATGATTCTTTACTGATGTACCGCCTGATGATTCTTTACTGATGAAACAGACTGTTGCGGAATTTTGAGGTAAGCGAAATTCTACATTTGCTCTATCTTTATGATATTGAGCACTCTTGCGTTTCGTATACACAAACCTACTCGTATATATATATATATATATATATATATATATATATATATATATATATATATATATATATATATATATATATATATATATATATGTATATATATATAAGATTAGAAGACAAACTTGACTTACTTCATATTACTTTATTTCACTACAAATTTGTTTCGTATGACAAGACGAGTCTTGCCACACTCATCAGGTGAATTTTTTAAAATTCACCTGATGAGTGTGGCAAGACTCGTCTTGTCATACGAAACAAATTTGTAGTGAAATAAAGTTCATATGAAGTAATTCAAGTTTGTCTTCTAATCGTATTAGCTCTACTACGGTATTGAGCACTCTACTCATATATGATTCCAAACTCGATACTTGTCTATATATATATATATATATATATATATATATATATATATATATATATATATATATATATATATATATATATATATATATATATATATCGTAAATAGTATTAATGAGTGATGAATAATTCAATTTTAAACCTAAAACCCGGGGCTTTTTCAAACCTAAAACCTGGGGTTTTGTCATTAATATTCCAAACGATATGTGATTCGAAAGAAAAGTGACGACACTTGCATTAATCCGGGTAATATTTCGCCGAATCCCCCTCGCTCCAGGTCTATAAATGATAAATATATTATATTCCGATGGCTAACGGATAAAGAAACAATTCAGAGGAAACACTTAGACTGACAGCCGATATATTTCGATTCGTTACCCCTGCCATAAAATAGCCAAGTACACTCATCTTTCATTGTAGCGGATCGACTGAACATCAAATCTTGTCATGAGAAAAGTGAATTTTCGGTTTGTCCTTCGGCTCAGTGCCAGGGACCAGGCAGTGGCAGTGTGCTGTACGGCCTACCGGTTTAAACCGTTACACAGTATATCATTACTGCTTTCATTCTTTCAATCCGTTTTGAATATTCGGAATCATTCACAATATTATAAAACTGTAGGATAGCTGTAGAACTATAAATGCTGTAGAATAAAATAAATAAAGAAAACAAATTTCCAACGATGCTCTATAGTTTGCACTACAACAAGCACAATTTAGTAGATAGTTACACACAAAAAAAAAATGCTCTAGGACCCACAGAATACACAAATGTCGACATGCGAAATTATTTCCAGTAGGCAAAAGTTCTTAACTCTTCATGCAAATATATTGACATTGTAAAAAAGTACCTAATTTCGATTTGTCTTTTCCTTGTTGAATTTCTGAAAGCATACCAACAACGACAAAAGCCGATGTCCATTAGCGAACTTAGCACGTTTTAAAATAGCCATAGATCGGCGAAATGTTGGAGTATTTCGACTCTGAAAGCATCTGTCCGAAGCTCGTGAAATTTAATTTATAGTAAACATTATTTGAAGTTCCGGCTACGCATGCTTACTCGGGTATTATGCCACTGTTCACAAGTACAACAAGGTTAATGAGAAACAAATTCGGCACGTTTGAGCCTACGATATGGAAAGACAACGCCAGAGAAAGAGCCCACGATATGGAAAGACAACGGCAGAGAAAATTGAAAGAACTCAAGACAAAAGGTGAAAGGGCATTGTGGTTTTTAGACTCATATGGTGCTGCGCCAAAGGCTCTCCTAGTGGAAGACTGCAATGGTGAGGAAATTTAATTGGAACTACAAATCATCTGGATTGGTACACGCGTAAAAATCATCATGTTGATGCAAGTTGTTCAAAACAGGAGCGAACAATGTTGTGCTGAACCCCGTGAACAATATTGTTAACAAGTTGTTGAACCATCAATATTGTTGCAACTTGTTGACAATCATGTTAACATGTTAACAACTTGCAACAGTACTGATGGTTGAACAACTTGTTAACAATATTGTTCACGGTGTGCAGCACAACATTGTTCACTCCTGTTGTGAACAACGCCGAACAACATGATCAATTTTTACCCGTGTAGGGCAAATCTTCTGGATTGACAGGGCAATGAAAGATTTTAAATGATAGAATGTAGAGTTATTAAGTAGTTTCCAGGGGTTACAGAGGGAATTGAATAGAATCTATAGACCTAAATTTTACAGATATTGGTAAAAAATAAGGGTTTCATGCATGTTTTAACAGGAATTTGTCCGAAAAAATTTTTTTGACCCTTAATTTAATTTGTTTATGTCCGGAAAAAATTTTTTGCTCCTTTTTTAAATGTCCGGAAAAAAAATTTTCGTCCCCCCCCCCCCCCCCCCCGCTCGTCAACATTTTTGGAAGAAATAGTGGCCAAAATTTTTTTTGCTGCAGGGCATCATCGGCTTTCGCAGGGCAATTGTAGCAGACACCCCTCCCCCCAAATAAAAGGGGCTAGTTTCGCCCCTGATCAGCTCTGGTAATAAAAGTGCCAAAAAGTCCAAGTTTGAAGATCTAGCAGATGAGGAGAAAGTGAGAATCAAGGAATTTCTTCATGTTTTGGATACTTTCTGCATTGGCGATGCTGCATACCACGAGTTGTCCGAGATCGAAGGTGGGTTGCAACGGAGTTACTTGATCAAGCACCATAACAAGAACCCAAGGAGATTTGGTGGGAGCTCAAATGAGTTTTAGGGAGGAGCTTAGGCGAATGCTTAAAGAAAAGGTAAGCAAGCTACTCATACAGTAGTTCAGAAAGAATATTAAATATATATATAATTATCAATATCATCTATTGATGATAATCACTATTAGTAAATAGTGATTATCATCACTAGATTACATTGATTATAATGATCAGTAATTCCTTTTATTCATTATGAGCGTAGAACTATTATTATGTATAATGATTAGAAAATTCTGCTGTATATTACATCTTGTAATACTCTCCAAATTGTTGTTTATAAAGGGTGTATAAAAAAAAAACTGAACAGATATGAATTTGCTCTCAATTTCGCAAAACAGCTATTAGTATCCAGTTTTTGATGTATATAGCTTATTTGGGTACTTATGATGTAGAATAATTTTGTGAACTCGGGGTGTGTGTTTTTTCAAACAAACTAAAAATGGCTTGGGCACGAAATTTAGAAGCTTTAATCATACTTTGAGCTAATAGATGGAAAATTTGTTGGGTTTTTAATTACTGTACCAAATTTCAGACAATTTTCATTAGTCTAAGCCATCTAACTATTCACGCGAACTTACATTTTTTAATAAAAAACAGCTATTTGCATGCTTAATTATGCCTTTGCCTAATTTGGTAAAGGCATCAATAAGGTAAAGGCATCAATAATAGCAAAATGCAAATTAGGTAAAGGCATCAATAATAATTAAGCATGCGAAAGGCTGATTTTGTCGAAAAAAATGAATAGTTAAAGGTCTTAAACTAAAACAAATTGTTTGAAATTTTGTACAGTAATTAAAAACCTAACCAGTTTTCCATCTAGCAACTCAAAATATGATTGAAGCTTTTAAATTGCGTGCGGAAGCCATTTTTATTTTGTTGGAAAAGACACACCTCCCTGGTTCACAAAATTTGAGTTCGAGAATTTTTTTTTCATTATTCTACATTATAAACACCCAAGGAAGCTATATACCTCAAAAACTGGATACTAATAGCTGTTTTGCGAAATTGAGAGCAATTTCAAATCTGTTCAGTTCTTTTTTATACACCCTGTATAGGCGAAAAATGGGGAAAAGGTGGGCAAAAAGTCAAGATTTCTGGGGATGGAGCAAAGATATCAAGGATTTCAAACTATATTGTGATGTCTTTTGCCCTCCTCTCTGATGAACAAGATGTGATGTCGACAAAATGTGAACAATACCTTTGAATTTGTTTGCCTCAAAACACAGTGTCCAAAATTTTACATTTAGGTAAATTGTAATAATTGTAGATTGTATTAATTTGTATTTGTTTTAGCACCCATGCTTTTGCAGTGCTTTGTGAGAAGGAGTGTAGTATGGCTTCAAGAACTCTTTGAAGAAATTAACACCATCATAAAAGAGGGAGAAATGGAAATGGAAATTGGCACTTTTGGAATGAAAAAGTGCACCTGAAATTTTTCCAGAAATGTTGGCGGGGGGGGACTGGAATCATACAAAATGCAATCTGAACAACATTTTTCACGAAGGCCAAGGGCACTTTGCCACCGGAGAAAGGGCACTTTGTGTTTTCTGAAAACTTGGGGAGCCTTGGTCCCCCGGTTCTTACGCCCCTGCATGTAATTAATCTGAAGGCAAAACCAATGTACGAAGTATGATTGTTGCTTGTTTTAGTTTTTGCTAGCAATGTTGGGAATGATTGCTGCCAACTCTATATATGCTTGTATATATTGCAAGATGCACAAAGATGAAAGGTGAGACCTAAATGCACAAAAATTGTATTACAGCATAATAATGTTCAATTTATTTTTATTTAATACAGCCATTAATGCTATGATTTTATATAATTCTAGATGGGATATGAGCAAACCTGAGGACAACTATTGGGCAGATGAGATGAAGGGAACGCTAGAGGACATCAGGCCATGCTGTAAAAAGAAAAAGGATAACTTTGGCTGTATTTTCCCAACCTCTTTTGGATATTCGAATTGAAAATGTTAGAGGAGATGAACTCCATCTTTTGCTCAGAGTTACAGGTACACCTAAGGAAATAAGAGCACATTTGTATCCCCATATCATCCGTAACCAGAGGCATAACCAGGATATTTTTGTCAGGAAGGGCAGGATAAAATCTAGGGGGATTGGTTTAACTAAGGTGTATAAAACCAAATTTTCTCAGGGGGTAGCACTTTTGGCAGGGGGGTGGGGGCAGACCCAAGCCCTCACTTCTGGCTATGCCTCTGTCTGTAACACGACTAAGCATGTTTCTTACGTTTAAATTTAGAAGATACCGTGATCAAGAAAGTAAGTTTTACTCCTATCTCAAGATTATATTTTTGTTCTGTTGTTTAAGGCGTGTGACTGGGTGAAGATCTTTTTAACATTAAAAGACAGAGAGGAAGGATATTCGAAAGCAAATATCACCCCATATATCCATCTTCTTGTTTATCATGTTCCTAAGTATGTCAATGATGAAGATAGTTTCAAACTATTTACTGGTCAAGGAGTAGAAAAAACCAATGATGTTGTGCGTAACATTTCTGTTGGCACTTAAATGCTTGGACTATCTCCAGGATCACAAAAGGAAACCCAGCAGCTACATCAAACATGACGACGAGTATTGAAGATCATCTAGTTTTGACAACAGAAGAAAGCGTCCACGTCTCTCTAGACAACTAACTGAATAAATACAATCATTAATACCAAGAAGGCGGCAACAACATCCTTGCAAAGTCACCCTCTCCAGCATGACTGCCTCCTGTACCCTCGATGAAGGTCCTTTGCCCTTGAAAAGGTGTCTGTAAACATCATGGTCAACATCCCATGTCAGCTGGGGATCCGGAGATTTTGACTTTAATTTCCCCTTTAGGGCAGTCAAAAATCGCCTTCTGGATTCTCTCGTCTGTTACAACAGGGTTGTTAGCCTATAAAGTGCCCTGAAAAAAAAACACATTTAGGGTTAAATATATCAGTGTTTTAAAACTTAATTAAATAAAGTTATAAAGGCTTAAGGCTTTTTGTGTAAATATATAAAACAACTAAAATTTGCATAACTTGCATATGCTGGATGTTCAAAGTTTGAAACTATATTTAAAAAATTTATTAATAATTCACGAGGACAATACAAAAGAAATGAATGTTTAATCACTGTTTGTAAATCGGATAAAGATTTGCCCTGATTTACATAAACTTCAGCTTTGATTTTCTCGGCTTCGACAATGTTTATTTTTAAAATTACTTCGCCAATGAACTCATAAGATGGGTCATTTTTTAAGTATGATAAAACAGTCACATCCGATCTGTATCTGATATACAAACTCTTACCTTCGGCTCGAGTTTGTATGTCAGATACAGATCGGCTGCTCATGTTTTATTGTATTCTTAATATATGAAGCCTGAAAATAGGTTTCTCGGACGCTTAACCTTTGTATTAAAATAGAGAAAGAATCTTTTCGATATTTCAAGCAAAGCCCAAGGCTCTTTGTGGAAACAATTTGCTTGAAAAGTCAACGAGTATATCTTATTCGTAGGCCTACTATATATACATGCAGTACATCTATTATTTGTAATTGTAAATATTAAACATTCATACTCAATCAATTCTTCAGGAATGTTTTTCTCAGGTTCCCAAGTGCAGTTGCTCATATCCATTCCTTGCCATTTGATGAGATATTCCTTACGCTGTAGAGGTCAAATAAACTTGGTTGAGTACAAAAACGATTGCATGCGAACTTTTGTGAAGTAAACTTTAAAATTTATAATAAATATATGCATTTATTCCAAATGTATATAAAATCGAAGTATAAATATATATTTCATACCTGACCACTTCCTCGTGCGGTAAAACAATACGTTCTACCTGGAAGACTCCTTGTAGATATTGCCTTTCCCTATAATTTGGTAGCTTGTCTCTAAACTCCGCTGGAATTTTTTCAAAAAATTTCTTCAAAATCATCTGGCTTTTCTTTTCTTCTGCGCCTTTGATTTTCCGCCATCTTGAAATTTACATGTTCCGACTGCGCATGCATCTGCAGACAGCGATTTCCTGACACAGGCAAATGGTGCGTGCGGGCGCAAATGTCGCGAATTTCTGGCCATGTTTGGCTTTTGGCAGTTTTGCATATGTGTTCATCATAAATTTTTCGTTCGTGTCGTAGAACACATTTTAATGTTTTAAAACAATTGCGCATTACAATTTTAAAAATAGGTACGCAATGCGTACATGTGGCTAGCCAAAATTTGTTACTAACGAATTTTGGCACATTTAAATCTGCCAAATCAGTTAGTCAGGCCTGGCCAAGTGCATTTTACAGACACGTGATATTAACGCCAGGCGTGTAGTTGCAAAACGGACGAATTACTTCCTGGACGATTTAACTAAAAATATGGGCGCAAATAGTCACTAGAAAAGAACCAAGGTTTTGAAAAACAGCAACTTGACATTGTGCCTATTAGCACTTCAGTAATTTATAGGTAAGCAACTTGGGAAATTGCAAATTCTATTCTGAGTATTCCAAATGTAGACATGTAATTAATTAATCCATACGAAACGAGGCGCGTGGTAAATTGCGCACTACAATGATTCGAAGCATGTGTGGAGGTGCGCGTGTGCAATCACTCGCCCATGGCAAGTCTGTGTTAATTCATAGAACCGTCGTCTGTGTTAATTCACGACTATGTGTATAAAACTATGTGTATGCAAACTAATTAATTTTCAAATTAAGACATCATCAACACATTTGTAAGTGGAAAGTCATATATCACGCTTTAAATAACATATTTTTAGAAATTGGTCAGTGTAAACACGTTGGTTCCGGAGTGTCGGCAATTCTTCACAATAGAACAGTTTGCAAAATCTAAAAATTACAGAGAAAATACATGTATAAGTACTTTGGCAGACACTTCACACAATATTGGAGATTAGGAGCTTGAGGCTTACAGGTTGCCAAGATATAACCACCCATTTGTTGCCCAAATCTTAATAATTCTTAGAACCCTTTTGGCTTAAATATCATGCACTTTCTATAGCCTAT